GGTCGAAGCGTAGTCGGGAAAAAGCAAAAGTAGTCCCCCTCGTCGCCAAACTACCCTTACGTTCTGAATAAATACTTGTAATGAGCTGTAACATGGCAACGGACAAGCATATATCAGTGTGGAGGAGGTAGAGATCTTACATGATCAGAGTGCTCCTCGGAGTCAGGAGAGTCCACAGCAGAGGTCTCGAGCCTTTCGGACATCACAATGCCGGGTGGAGTTTTAGCATCAATACGGAGAGCATCAGGATCCAATTCCTCCATCTCCTTCAGTGTCTCGAGATGCGGCCGAACACATTCCCTTACCTGAAAGAGCCATAGGCGAGCATTAGGCTCCAAAAGAAGAAGAGCCAGGTGACATCCTCAGCCGGATCACGTCATCTACAGTGAAGGGTGTGGAGCGTACTAGGCCGTTGAAGGGAGGGAGGAGGCTGTATCAATCTTTGAAGGAAATCTTTCCGGCTTTTGACCTCTCTCGGGTTCTACTGTTCTCAGTGTGCCATTTACCCACCCTCGGCAGCAGTTTTATGGGGCAAAAAAGAGGAATTCTCGAACGCAAGTCCGGGAAGTGGTAGGAAACTCTAATAGTTTAGAAAGATAGTAAGGTGAATGATGTATGGGGTCGCACTAGTGCACGGAATCACAACGGGGATGAGGTCGAACTTTGCAGAACATTTCCAAAGGGCAGGACGTACCTTCCTCTCAGCACAAGTGTCAAATGTGACAGAGCATTTGGCGCTGCCCACCGATCACACCCCCACTTTTTGAAATATGAGCAGGTCTGAGATCGAGATTCGATACCTGGCTGGGAGTGGCAAGGCTCAGAGAGGGTCTATGTAAGAAAGCAGCTAACACTCCGCCCCCACACGACAGCTGCAGGAAAACCCACGAAGTCTCCACTTATTGGGTAAACTGACCTTATTCTCCCTCAACAACTGAATAACCTCGATGTCAGGCTGCAAGAAACTCGGTAAATAATGATTAGTAAATAAACCCACGCGCTAACTGTATGAACAAGCTGGTAGACCTTGTTGAGTGGCGCAGTAGGAGACAAGTGCTTTCAGAAATCCAATACCTTGGCAACCAGCCAGCAACTCCATAGTCAGCACTGGAAAGGACCTTGTTTAGCGTGATTGTCGGAATTGGTGGAAATACTGAAAATTTATAAGCACTTACATTCATTTCATTTCTCATGTATATTTGGTTTATTTCACACAAAAGCAGACTCCCTGAGAGGAGGCAGTCTACTATTGCTCCCACCTCACTAGAGGGTCAACAGGAAGGGCCTACCAAGATGGCAAAACAGGTGACTGTCTCCACACATATGATTAGTGTGGACTGTATCATTGTTTTTTCCTTATTTTTTTTTCATCATTTCATCAATTTTTGGATTCATCCTCAATTATTCTTCCTGTTACCTCTTATAAGCTCATGAAAAAGCTCTGGAAGTGAATTACACTATGAATGTACAGAAGTGGACTTCAACTCATTAGAAGAGTTGACAGGTGGTCTATACATACTTGGGTTGGTATCTTTCCGCGGGTTCACGAGATTTTATATCTCCACTTTGTGGCTCGACATATCAATGAGAAGTTGCAGAAGTTCTCCGGTCCTGCTCGTTTTATTCCAGCAAAACGATATTCTGCCACCCCTGGCTCAATTGTTTCCTCACGTCTTCCAAGGACAATACCCCTAACAGAGAAAGAAAGCAAAGAAACAATGTGAAAGCGATAGCAAATAAACTTTAGGTTTCGATGGACGGGACGACTGCAGAAGCGTCAGAACTGTCACTCATGGGCAGGGCACATCATTGGTTGGATGATTTAGCTGCGTGGCCGTACCACCCCCCCCCTTTTTGGGGGTTCGGTACGACCCCCCCCCTATACATGAAGCTTCTCCCCCCTCCCCCCCCGAGGAGGAAGAAACTTCACATGTTTATGTATAAGTAAACGCGAAAAATGGAAAAAGTAACAATCGTGAATGAGGGCCAGGGCCCCCTCGCTTTCTGCTCATTTCTATCCCTAATTCAAAAAGCGAATCGAAAAGAAAGTGCCATTAGTACTCACCCTCCCTTGAGTAAAAACAAACTCTGGTACCTGAATCAATTGCAGTTAAAAGAAAAAAGAGCAGGAAATCAAGCAAGTTCCTCCTAAGAGCACTCTGAGCGGTCTAAGCAAAATTGCTGGGGCGAGCTCTGACGTGTATTCGAGTAAACTA